AGTCTGGCCTTGGGGACATTCAAACCCAGCTGGAAGGTGAAAGTCATTAGTTCCTTTTGGCTTATCAGGCATTGAGCTTCACTTGGCCTTTCGAGTTAAACATGGGACATTCTGCCCTTTTGTTTGGAGAGATCCTTGGCCTCTTCTCCGATCTCCTTGGGAGGCAGATGAGTAAGAAGAGCTGTCGCTGGGTGGAAAAGGGGACACTCGTGCTGCACGTGAGCACGACGCACAGGGGACGAGGGATGCGTGGATCTGAAAACTTGGGGGACTCCAGGGCCATTTCGAAACTGCAAATGAAAACACCAGTGAGGCAGCATTTAGCCAATTAGTAGCAAAGATTCAAAAGTGATCGTGGCTGGTATTGCCCTGGGAGAGAGAGGGGGAGCCCACGGGACTGTGCGGGGCACGCGCCACCATGGAACCCTGAGAAGGGCGTGGCCCCGCACGAGCCCTCGGTCTCAGAGACGTTTGTCAGGACTGTCCGACAGCAGTCATTTCTAGGCCGTGTGTGCTCGCTGGAGAGAGGAGGTGAGTGTGGCCACACCGCAATTTCTTCTCCACTTTCCTATCGGGGTTTGGGGCATGTATGCCCACCATGATTTTCAAGTCTCTGGGTCCTGGACTCAAACTTCTGAGTTGGCCATGCGGGATGCTGTGCCTTAACCACTGTGCCACCTGCTGGCCCACAGTAATCATTTTTTAAAAATAGAAAAGATTGGAGCGTTCAAAAAATACGGACATTGTTACAGGCATTATGGTATATTCATACACTAGAATGTTCTGCAGATTAATTTTTTTTTTTTTTTGGAGAGGTTTTTGCTATAAGGCAACGTGTGTTTACCAGAAAGACAAAGAGAGACATAGAGACAGAAAGCCAGAAATCATCCCCCGGGGGGGATGGCCATGCCACAACCCCTTCTCCTCCATTCTCCTCTTGGGATCTTGGGCACGCATGCACATGCACCCAGTGTGAGTTTAAGCCACTGGGTCTGGGACGCGAACCGCAGTTGACTACATAGGAGTTCAGCGACATAGCCATTATGCTACCTGCTGGTCCCACTACAGACTAATTTTTAAGGATGTGAAAAATATTCATAAAATGTGAAGAGACTAAAAAAAGAAGGCTTAGAATCGTGTGCGTGTGAGTGATGCATGCATGACGATTGTAGATGTACATGTGTAAATATTTAAACTGCCAACATACACATACCCGGGAAAAGTTTATTAAAATTCAGATAATTACATTAGAGTGAAAGATTCTAAGAGTTTTTATTTTTATACTTTTCTGTTTCTTGCCTCCTAATTTTTTTTAAAAAGGGGTTTATTTATTTATTTATTTATTTATTTATTTTGTTTTTGCTATGGGGTGCATGTGTTTGCCAGAGAGAGACAGAGAAAAAATGAGAATGCACCCGCCTGGTGGGATGGCCACACTGCAGTCCCCTCCCCATTCTCCTCTCAGGATTTTGGGTACACATGCATGCCTGGCATGATTCTTGGGCCGTGGGATCAGGGACTCAAACCACTAGGCTGGCCAAGTGGGATCCAGTGCCTTAACCTCCACACCACCTGCGGGCCCCCCTCACTTCTTATAAGCTGTCTACGTAAATAATCAGGAAAGCAAAGTGAGTGGAGCTTTGGAAGGCCGCTCCTCACCACAGGAGCTCCGTCCTCTGCACCCGTGCAGGCAGCCTGACTCTCAGCAGCACAGGCCCCTGTCACTCTCTGGGGCGAGCTGGGGATTGATTGGCACTGTGGCAGCCCTTTTCCAGGCTCGCCTCGCTGTGAGACCTCCTCTTTGGGAGGGGCTTGCATTTGTATGTCTCGGACAGCGATTCCTCGTCTGTTGTTTGTAGAAGGAACGGCCACAGCGGCCAGCTAGAGATGGGCCTGCCAACTGCTTTGGCCACTGCACGGTCGATGTGATGACGATGATAATAAAAATAATAATAGTAATAGAACTCCGGTCATTGACCGAGCAGCCTGCACTTTTCAGGTAGAGCCAGCACCTGGGAGCCTAAGGGGACAAAACACCTTCCTACAGGGTGAATCCCAGAGGGCCATGTAGGCCTTTGAGTCGAGTAACAGCCAGCACTCTCTGTGCTGGCCCACAGTGGAATCGAAACCATGCCCAGCCCTGTGGGGGCTGCACCCAGGCTCTGTCTGCCTCACCCCCTGAAGGAATCACGGTTCTCATCGGGGGGTCTCAGGTCTCCCCAGAGTGTGAATCTGGGTCTTCGGTCCTCAACGTTGTGTTGAGCCAGCTCTGGAGTCGGGGCCACCGTGGGAGTCTATTATTTCATTTTCTTGGAACAGGTCCGTTATGCATTGCTGACGATAATGATTCATTATACTGTCACACGCTGGCATGTCTGATTCTCAGCAGCCAGCAGGAGAAATTGCCCTCCTGATTAATTTTCTGCCGTTTCCCCCCTTCTCTTAGAATGGCGATTCAAGTGGATAAGTTCAACTTTGAGAGTCTCCCAGAGTCTCCTGGGGAGAAGGGGCAATTTGCAAACCCAAAGCAGCTGGAAGAAGAGAGGCAGGAAGCCCGAGGCCTGGAGGTCAACAGCAAGCTGGACATCCACTGGACAATCATATCCTTTCCTGGCGGCCCACTTGGGGCCTGGACCCGCCCCAGGGTCTCCGACACGCTGACGCAGAGGTCGGCCATTGGATTTTAACCACAGGTAGCTCAGAAATGTCATGGCAAGGCGATGCGGACCACAGGCTTGGCCTTTTCTTAACCTCTTAACGCTTCAAAGGCCCTACTTGATGAAGTATTGATTCTGCGGGAGGAAAGGTCTTCCTGGGTTTGTGGCGTTCTCGTCTCTAGGTGGCATGTTTCTGCCGGCGTTGGTGTTCATGTTAGTGGCAGGTTCTCGTGGCCACCTATCAAGGCCAGGCTTGGGGAGTTTTGCAGACTGACAGCTGAAAACAGGGATGCAGTTATCTGGGACCTGAAATCGGCCCGTACAGCTTGCTGAAGCTGAAGGCACTGTTTTGAAAAGACTGAGGGTGTTCTCGATCGAGAAAGGGGCCGTGAGCGCGTGTCATGGAATAACTGCACTGCTCCGAACTGCCCATCAGTGCCTGTCTTCAAGGAGGCCCTCGCCAAATGAGGGACTCTCTGGAGCAGCCCAGGGTTCACGTGTCTGTGCGTTGGTCAGGCATTCTTTCCAGAGCACCTGCTTTTGGCCCACGGAGTTCGGGAGGCACTGGAAAGCCTGAGAGGCAGAGCCAGGCCTGTCGCAGTTGCCTGACCCAGTGGGAAGCAGGTGTCTGTCATCTGGGAACCAGATGCGCTGCAGGCGAGCCCAGGCAGAACCCTGTGCCCTCTGCTCTGGGTGTAGATGCAGCAGCTGCTGGTGGGGGCAGTGGGGGGGCTTCACAGAGGGGCGACCTCTGAAGGCTGTCAGGATTGGTGAGAGTTCTTGGGAGGGACGAGGGAAGTGCCCTGAGGTTTCTGAGGCATGTGAGCCCTTCAGAGACTCGAGGAAGTGGCAGGAAGCTGTGGTGTGAATGTTAACTCAGTCCACGTGGACTCTGGTGGTGAGGGTCAGACCTCACCGTGTGGTCACACACCTGCTGTGCAGCTTCCCTGATTCTGAGGTCCTCATTCCATGTGCGGCAGAGGTCCCGGGACCTGAGGCCAGTTCCTTTTTGCCGGCTAGCGTGAATTCAGGCCGGGCAGGCCCGCTGTCTCTCAGGAGGTTAGCACTTCCCATGCAGATAGAAGGTTTTGTGAACCAGATGCTAAAAATAGAGCAATGAAGGACTCAGAGTGAACAGAGGCAGCCAGTCGTGGGGTCGCAGGCACGCGCTCTGGCCCAGACAGAGGTGAAAAGGTGAGCGTCCTGGGCTCTCTCTCCCCGTCTGCCCTTGGAGCCGAGCGCCAAAGCCAGGGTTTGGTCGGTTTTTTGCTGATTAAGCTAAATGGCGTGGCAACGCAGCACGCTGGCTGCTTGTTCACCATGTACAAAGCACGCTGCTGTCAGGTGATGGTAATTCTTCCACGTCTCTCTGATCGCCACTGCCATGGCTGGGGAGGAAGCCGGACCTCCACGAGGAGCGTTGAACCCGGTATTTCGAGACCAGGATAAGCGGCAGAGCAGGGTGGCCAGAGGAGGGCTGCTGGTTAAGTGTATGCTCGCCCTGCGTCCTGGACTGCAGGTGGCTCACGGAGGATCAGGCCAGGAAGGAAGACCCCTGGTGTGTCTCTGCCATGATGTTAGAGCCAGGGAAAAACGTGGGTCTTTCTGAGAGGATGAACCTTGGCGAGGCTCTGTCACTTCCCCCCTGGAGGGAGACCACTGTCTCCCAGGTCTCAGAGCCGGTTTCACGCAGGAACCCTCACAGACCGCCGCAGTCTGGGGGCGGGGGCGCTCTGCCTCTGCTCATCAGTGCCACCCACCCAGCAGTGACTGTTCTCACGGGTGACCTTGCTCCGGGGCTCAGATAAAAGCAGGAAGCCCCTGTTCCCTAGAGACTGGGCTCTTCCCCTCCCAGGCTCAGCGGTGTTGGGCGCACAGGGTGGTGTCTGCTGTGTCATAGCCACCGATTCCCGAGCGCCCCTGGCTCACCCACCCACCCCTGAACTGCACCATCAACTGTCCTGCAGGTGCAAGTTGGGACTCGAATCCGGGAGAAAGGGAGGTGCTTGGGGCCGGCTGGCGACAGGGTGGTTACCCACAGTGTGCCGTGACGCCTGTGCCCACGGAGGTCAGGTCACGTCTGGAGACCTGCCTGAGTACAGCAGACGTGCGAGTGTCCCTGAACCAGGGCTGCTGGCCGAGGGGGATCTCACGTCAGTACCTGCCAGGGTGCACGTGCGCTCTGCCTCTGCTCTCGTTCATAGACCAGTCAACAAACATAAATCATAATAAAGCAAGGCAGTGGAGGAGCTGCCCGGAGCTCTGTCCATCGGTCCCATCTGTGATCCTTGTCCAGTGGACGTGGCGTGGTCTTTAAAAACCGCCAAACAAGGGCAGAGAATGTCTGCTGCTTCTTATTAGGCCTGGACTCTGCTAAAAGGTCAATTTTCCCGTTTTCTGTGTTTACTTAATAATTCATATAGCAAATATTTATCGAACGCCTACCATGCGCTGCGCACATCTGTCCCACAGAGTCACTGACTGCGGTTTATGCGCGATGTTCCTGTGGGCTAATTTAGTTAGAGGGAACACTGAGGACACCCCCCTCGTCTCGCTCCCTCCCCCGGCCCCCCTGTGCACGCTTACTTTTCTCCTCTCTCATCTGGGAATGACATCTGGCAGGGATGAATACCAGGCTTTTGCTATTGTAAATCTGAATTCAAGCAGATGGGAAGACCGAAAATTGAATCGGCTAATAATTTCATTATGCATTTTAGTAACGTTTTCCAAATATTTAGACTTTATAAAAAAAAATCCGAGCCTAATTTGACATCAGTCCGTAGTGATCGAGGTTGCCCGTACATCATGCACAGGTGGCGTGCAGTGAGCAGGCTCCTGCAGCACATACGTGCACACCTGTCTCTAGCATCTGCAGCGAGGTACGAGGTGCACAGCCAGAGGACATGGGGAGCTAGGCCAGCCTGTCCCCAGTTAGCAAAGTTTGTTACACAGGTTTTGTTCTCACGTGCCGGGCCCTGGAAATGTCCCGCCAGCAGCCCCGTCTAAGAGGAGGACAGGCATAGACGGACACTCACCACCCCATCTAAGAGGAGGGGTGGGTGCACACAGGGGCACTCACCACCCTAAGAGGAGGGGTGGGTGCACAGAGGGGCACTCACCACCCTGTCTAAGAGGAGGGGGTACAGAGACTGGCACTCACCACCCCGTCTAAGAGGAGGGGGTGCAGAAATGGGCCCTCACCACCCCGTCTAAGAGGAGGGCGGGTGCAGAGACGGGCACTCACCACCCCGTCTAAGAGGAGGGTGTGCAGAGTCAGGCCCTCACCACCCCGTCTAAGAGGAGGGGGTGCAGAGACGGGCCCTCACCATAGTGTTGAAGGGCCAGGGCAGGTGCTTTCAGAAGATGAGGGGTGTAGCAGGGCCTCACACCACATAGCCTTTGTATGACCAGTTTTAGCTGAGGAGGGTCCTCCCCACCTAGTGGGAGTCCACGGAGGCAGAGCACTGGCCTGACTGGCCTGATGTCTCAGAAGCTGCCCTGACCCTGGCCTGCCAGGGCATTGTAGAGAAGCAGGAGTGGGTTGGGAGGCTGGAACTGTTGCCCGAGCGCTTCGAGGCCAGGACCTTTAGGCTGATGAGGTCTGGTCACGGCGCCTGCAGGGTTCAGACTTGTAATGGCCTAAGCTTCCTCCATCCCCTGTCCTTCCTTATTTTGGGTCAAGGCCAAGGATTGAACTCAGGGGCTTCGTCTTCATTTCTGCCCACCCCTCAGTCTGCGAGTGGTCACTCCTCTTAGCAGGCCTGTGGCCTGCTGTGCCCCGAGTCCTCCCTGGCCAGCGCTGTCCAGCCCTTCCTACCTTGGACCCCTTCTCCCCACCCGTATGCCTGTTCTAGGAGGGAGGCAAGGCAGGGTTTCTCCCAAGGAACCTGGGCCAGAGGAGTCACAGCATGAGGGTGCTGAGGGGAACAGGGTCCTCCCAAGGCTGGAACCTCCCAGCCCTGGGTTCCTGGATGGCCCAGATGGTGTTTTCAGCCCCAGTGTCGCTACGTTCTGGGTGGAACTTACTCTTTGGCACTGGGCCTAAGCAGATGGGCCACGTATTAGATACCTCCATTTTCCTGTAAGAACCCCTCGCAAGCCCTCTTACTGTCTCACTCTCCTTGGCCAGTGAGAACTCCCTGTGCAGACAGTCCTGTCCTGTTGGCCACATGGCACTGTCCTCGCTCAATTTCCCACGGAGGCCAGGGAAGGCGCCGAGCAGGCAGGAGCCTGTCCTCACAGGCCCCTCCGTGCGTAGCCTGGGTCAGCACCTCACTCTCTCTGCTTCTCTGTCCTCACCAGGACGTGGGGGAAGTGAGGCCCCCCTCTCCACATGCTGGTGAGGCAGAGTGTGTAGGCCAGGCCATCCGGGCAAAGCCCTGGCCCCTGGTGCCTGGCCCCCGAGGGTGGGGGCGGCACTGCCTCCTGTGTCCCCATTGTGCACATGCGCGTCAGAGGTCCCCCGCTGCCCTCATGCCCCTGCCTTCATCTGTGCCTGGGCTGAAGTTCTCACAAAGGAGTCCTCATACTCAGAAACCCACGTGCTGCCTCTTAGCGCCAGCTGGTAACTTTGTGTTTAGTTTTTATTTACTTTTTTGCTATAGGGTACATGCACACACAAGAGTGAGACAGAGTGAGAAATCACCCCCCAGGGGGGACGGTCACACCTCAGTCCCTTCTTCTTCATTGCATCTTGGGATTTTGGGCACACACGGACACTCGCTCTGCGTGATTTTTAAGCTACTGGGTCCGGGACTCAAACTGTGCAGTTGGCCATGTAGGATCTGGCACCTCAGCTTCCATGCTGCCTGCTGGCCTGCCTAGTAACTTTGTAAGGGACTGCTCCTCCTGCAGTGGCTGACGGGCACACGTGGCTGTGGGGGATCCTGGCTTTCTGTGTGAGCACCAGGGCACACAACCATGAGCACCTCACGGGCCTGCCC